CCTGGCTATCTTGATTCCCTTAGGAATCTCCCATTTCCTTCAACCCCAACATGACACAGCAGGGGACTTCCAGAACTCTGATCCAGCAGCATTGTCTGATCTGGTTGTTCCATGCTCATGCTGTACTAGTTGTTATCTTGATTATCTTTGGGTTTACTGATATATCAAATGTGTCTCCATAACAATATCACAGAACAATTCCTTGAATTAGAAAAACTTCACTAGATAGATCTATAGATAGCCAGAATGTTTGTAAACACAGATAAATGTATTAAATGGCTTAGTAATATTATATAATAATGCATGTAAAATAAATATTACCTAGGATCTTAAGGCCATCTGTATTTTGCTTTGCTTGATTTCCCACTAATATTGTAATTCCATAGGTTTTTCATGTCAGTAATCATAAACATCATAGTGTAATTTATATTTTGAAGGAAAGTCTTGATAGTAATTGTTTTACATGAGTTTATGTTCTCAATTTCACTGAATATTTGAAAATTACAACCATATATACAAATAATAACTTACCTACACCATTAGGGATATTTAAATTTTCATTCACTGTGCTACAGGAACAATGTGAACTCTGAAATAAAAATAGACCAGAAAAAGTGAATAGAAAAAAATAATTAAATATCAATATAATTTTTAAACTTAGCATTATTGATAGCTATAAATAATAATAAAATGAGATCTAATGTTACCATTTGGATTTATCTTATATAAGGAAAATAATTCATTTCTACTATAACCAGTACACCTGCAGGTGGTGAGATAACTTGCATGGCTGAAACATTGTAGTAGTAGGTTGTTGAGGTAGGAAATGGCAAGCATCAAAAAAGTACATGATACTACTTTGTATATTATTGATCTCTTCTTACTCCCCTAAGCCCCAGGGAACAAAAATAGTAACTTAAAATGTAAAATAAAAATAATATTAACATAAAAGAAAGCATATATCAAAGGAGAATGGAGAAGTGATATGATGGAAAATGGTAGAGTAGGGTGCTCAAAGAATTGGTCCCTTCACTGAAACAAATATAAATGTCAAAGGCTCACAGATCAACTATTTCAAACTCCATAATCTAATACAAAACTTATAGCAACCAGGGACTGGTTAATGCAAAAAGGGGCAGCTAAATTTTGGTGTTTTAAGAAATCTGTAAGGTCATTAGCTGGCCACTGAGATAACGGAAGAGAGACTTCAGTGACTGACCACAAATGGCAAAGAATTTACAGTCTTTGCAAAACAATAGTTTGGATAGGTCACTAAAGAAACATGTGACCACAGCCCTCAAAAATCAACAACAGTACCCTAGAGATGGAGGAGAATTTCCAGAGTTACATTATAATATTTAAAATGCCCAATTTCCAACAAAAAAATCACAAGACATACAAAGATATAGGAAATATGGCCCATTCATAGGAAAAAACTTGACAGAAATGGCCTGTGAGGAAGCCCAGATATTGAACTTAATAGACAAGGATTTTAAAATGACTTTCTTAAATATGCTCTTAGAGCAAAAGGAAACCATGGGCAAACAACTAAAGGAAATCAAGAAACCAATATATAAACAAAATGTAAATAAAGAGATAGAAATTATAAAATGGAACCAAATAGAAATTCTGGATCAGAAAGTACAATAACTGAAATGAAAAACTCTTAAGAAGTTCAACAGCATATTGAGCAGATAGAAGAAAGAATCACTGAATTGAAGATAGGAAATTAAAATTATCCAGCCTGAAAAGCAGGAAGAAAAAAAGAATGAAAAAAATGAACAGAGCCTAAAGGACCCTGGGGACAACAATCAAGTGTACCAACATACACATTATGGGAGTCAAAGGAGAAAAGAAATGGCCAGAAAGAATATTTGAAGAAATAATGGCCAGACACTTCCCAAAGTTAGTAAAGGACATGAATCTACACATCCAAAAAGCTCAACACACTTCAAGGAGGATAAACTCAAAGATATATACACCAAGACATAATAAAACTCCTAAAAGACAAAGAGAGAACTTGAAAGCAGCAAGAAAAAACGTCACTCATCACATATAAAAATTTTTCAATAAGATTAACAGCCAATTTCTCGTCACAAGCCATGTAAGTTAGTAGACAGTGGAAAGAAAAAGACTGTCAACCAAGAATTATATAACAAGCAAAACCATCCTTCAAAAATGAAGAAGAATCAAGACATTCCTGGATCAACAAAAGTTAGAGGTGTCTGTCACTATTATTTTTGTTTTACAAGAAATGATAAGGGAGTCTCTCAGGATGGAAGAAAACATACTAGACAGTAACTCAAGCCCATATTAACAAAGAACTCCAGAAAAGGTAACTATGTAGGTAAATATAAAAGCCATTATTATTATATTTTTGGTTTGTAACTTCTAAAATTTCCTACATGCTTAAAAACTTTTTATTTATTTTGCATTGAAATATAATTGACATACAACATTGTATTAGTTTTAAGTATACATAATGATTTTATATATGTATATATTATAGAATGATTACACAATAAGCTTAGTTTACATCCATCACCACACATTTATAATTTTTTTCTTATGATGAGAACATTTAAGATTTATTCTCTGCAACTTTCAAGTATACAACATAGTATTGTTAACCACCCTATACATCACAAACCAAGGACTTATCTTATAACCAGAAAGTTTGTACCTTTCAACAACCTTCACCCATTTCACCCACCCCCAAAATGCACCTCTGGCAACCACCAATCTGTTCTCTGTACAAATGAGTTTAGTTTTTTTGTTTTAGGTTTCACATATAAGTGAAATCATAAAGCATTTGTCTTTCTCTGACTTATTTCACTTAGTATAATGTTGTCAAGGTCCATCCATGTTGTCTCAAGTGGCAGGATTTTCTTCTTTTTTACAGCTGATTAATACTCATTGTGTATGTTTACCACATTCCCTTTATCCATTCATCCACTGATGGACACTTAGGTTGCTTCCATATCTTGCCTATTGTGAATAATGTTGCAGTGAACATGGGAAGGCAAATATCTCTTTGAGATCCTGGTTTCAATTCCTTTGAATATATATCAGGAGTGGGATTGCTGGATCATCTGGTAGTTCTATATTTAATTTTTTGAGGAACCTCCATACTGTTTTCCAATGTGGCTGCACCAATTTACATTCCCACCAAGTGTACAAGGGTTCCCTTTTCTCCACATCCTCACCAACACTTGTCACTTGTTTATCTTTTTTTTTTTTTTTTTTTAATAAATGCCATCCTTACAAGTGTGAGGTGAAATCTCATTGTTGTTTTGATTTGTAGTTCCCTGGTGATTGGTGATGTTTAGCACCTTTTTTTCTTGGTCATTTGCATGCCTTCTTTGGAGAAATGTCTGTTCAGTTCCTTTGCCTGTTGTTTAATTGGGTTATGTGGGTTTTCTTGCTATTGAGTTGTAGTAGTTTCTTATATATTTTGGATATTAACCCTTCATTAGATATATAATTTGTAAATATTTTTGCACATGCTATGGGTTGCCTTTTCATTTTGTTGACTGTTACAGTAAGCAAAACTGTGTATCACTTGTATAAAACAGACATATAAACCAATGGAACAGAATAGAAAATGGAACAGAACACAGAGCCCAGAAATAAACCCACACATATATGGTCAACTGATCTTTGAAAACCATGCCAAGAATCCACACTGGGGAAAGAATAATCTTTTTAATAAATGGTGTTGGAACAACTGGATATCCACATGCAAAAAAATGAAATTTGACCTTCATCTCATACCATACACAAAAATCAACCTAAAATGGATTAAAGACATAAGACCTGTTGCTTCTAGAACCCCAAAATATGTTGGGCTTATTTTAATGTCGTAGGTGCCAAGAGTTTCAAAACTGTTTCTTGATAGTGTCAAGAATGGAGCAGCAAAGCCTGACACCTGAGAGCAGGGAAAGGAGACAGGTTTAAGGGTTTTATGGTGGTTAAATGTTGGGACTGAGATGAGAACTCCCATATGGAAGAAGATGTTTGTATGGCACCAAAAGAGGGCACACTTAGGACTTCTTATCAGCTTGCTGAAATGGGCCAGAAAGGAGCTGTCAGCAGTCAAACATCAATAATTAGAGTGAGGCTCTAATTTTCTGCATACAGGTCTTTTGTCTCCTTAGGTAGGTTTATTCCTAGATATTTTATTCTTTTTGTTGCAATGGTAAATGGGAGTGTTTTCTTGATTTCACTTTCAGATTTTTCATCATTAGTGTATAGGAATGCAAGAGATTTCTGTGCATTGATTTTGTATCCTGCAACTTTACCAAATTCATTGATTAGCTCGAGTCATTTTCTGGTGGCATCTTCGGGATTCTCTATGTATAGTATCATGTCATCTGCAAACAGTGACAGTTTTACTTCTTTTCCAATTTGTATTCCTTTTATTTCTTTTTCTTCTCTGATTGCCATGGCTAGGACTTCCAAAACTATGTTGAATAACAGTGGTGAGAGTGGACATCCTTTTCTTGTTCCTGATCTTAGAGGAAATGCTTTCAGTTTCTCACCATCGAGAGTGATGTTTGCTGTGGGTTTGTTGTATATGGCCTCTATTATGTTGAGGTAGGTTCCCTCTATGCCCACTTTCTGGAGAGTTTTTATCATAAATGGGTGTTGAATTTTGTCAAAAGCTTTTTATGCATCTATTGAGATGATAATATGTTTTTTCTTCTTCAATTTGTTAATATGGTGTATCACATTGATTGATTTGCATATATTGAAGAATCCTTGCATTCCTGGGATAAACCCCACTTGATCATGGTGTGTGATCCTTTTAACGTGCTGTTGGATTCTGTTTGCTAGTATTTTGTTGAGGAGTTTTTCATCTATGTTCATCAGTGATATTGGCCTGGAGTTTTCTTTTTTTGTGACATATTTGTCTGGCTTTGGTATCATGGTGATGGTGGCCTCGTAGAATGAGTTTGGGAGTGTTCCTCCCTCTGCTATATTTTGGAAGAGTTTGAGAAGGATTGGTGTTAGCTCGTCTCTAAATGTTTGATAGAATTATTAGCCCTTTTTAAAGTGGCTTTTGCAAACTGTTTTCAGACTGCAAATGAGCCAGAAAGCCAAAGACACGACCAAGAACATTTTCAAGCACTACAATAGAGTAACTGAAGTCGTCTGACTGGACTGAAAGTAACACGATAAACTGAAAAATTGTCAACCGATTACCCTCAAAAGGAGCCCGAAGTCCAGTGTTAGAAGCAGGTGGGATTCCTGCAATGAAGCTCTCTCACTGCAAGGTAAATGGGTCAACTCTTGAGGAGTCAAATCTGGCATGCAGCGGCAGCCTCTGCATCAGAAACTTTACCAAAGTTGACATCTTTACTTTATGCCCAGCTATGATGGTGGATGTGTTGTCATGTCCAGTACAATGATAAACCCAAACAGCAATGGGGGCAATCTGTGGAGGAGAGGCTCAATGAGCAGCTTGATTCCAGTCAGTCTCACGGAGCACATGCCCTTACTCTGTACATCTACATAACTGACCTAGATGGGTCTTTTAGTAGCAGCAATTTTGTTCTATAGTTTGCAGCCCCAAAGAGGGGTGTCTTTAACCTGCCAGTTTGTAGTTTTTCAAATGGCAAGCCAAGTAGCTAGACCACTGGAAATAGCTCCAGAGTAAGCAAAATGTAACAAGGTCTTAAAGTGGAGTATTGGCCAGAGTTCTGTCCAGCTGAGTGGAATAAGCACATCCATTTTTGATTCTGCATGGCTGACCTTTAGACTGAATAGCCACAGTAGCCCAATGTTCAGCTTATCTGAACCATGAGTGAACCTGGCCCAGGTATTTAGGAGCACATCTGTGAATCCAGGGCTCCACTGAGTCAGTGGCTTTGCTTCAGGTGGCAGAATGAAGGATAAGGTTCCACCAAAACTGGTTGCTGCCACTTTTTCATACAAAACCAAAATGATGCTAGGACCAGGTCAGATGCACTCCTGAACACACTACTACCATTTGACCAGAAAAGCCTGCTGCTTTAGGCCTTACTTGAAGCATGTTGATTTGCAAGTTAGGTGACATAAAGCGCTAAGTAGAATGCCCAAAGTGATGTACATATAGTCTCCCATTCCCAAAGAGTTCAAAAATATGTTGGGCCTCTTTTTAGGTGGTGTGTGGCCAAAGAGACAGCACTTTTTCTTTGACTGCCAAAGGAACTGAGCACCGTGAATCTGCCCACATAGTCTCAAGAAAATTTACTTGGCAAGCAGGCCCCTGAATTTGTCAGGGTTTATCAGCCACCTCTGTTGGTAGAGGTGTGATATCACCACAGTCAGGGCCTCTGAAACTGAGGTTTTTGACTTGCTAACCAATAGGACATCATCTGTATCTTTAGACATGAGAGGGTGGAGGCACTTATTTAAATCCTGATCCACCCACGTGTGGCAAATGGCAAGGACTTATCTACACATGGCGGTGCCTTGAATGGGAGAATTCCCTCTTGACCCTTTATGAATATTTACAGTATAGGCATGCAACACATCAATTTCAATATACAGTGGGCAGTGAGAGATATAACAACAGTACACGGACTCAGCAGAGAAGGCCCTACCCATAAGGTTACTTTAACATAACTTTTCTCCACACTGCAAGTTTTGCCCAAACCCTATCAGTTGATTTCAGATTAACCTACATGTTAGGAGCTACAACAGCTACACTAGCCATCAGGAGATTATTATTTCCAGACTGGGATCATAGGGGAACAAGGGTGTGAGGGAGGTTAGCCTTTGGCGGACAGCTGGAGCAGCCGGGAGGCCCCTTATCTCAGGGCTGGAACCCCTCCCCACTTGTGCACCTCCTTGCTTCCAGAGTGCCTCTGGGCTCAGGAGCTCCTTTCCTTCTGGCACATTCTACTACAGCTCCACACTAGAGTCTCTGGGGCCTATATCCAACAGAGCTGTACAGCTATGTGCCCTTCACCTCCCAGGAAGGTTCCCCCAGGATACAGGGCCTTTTCCTGAAAGCAGATGAGGTCATCCCTTTCTTCCCCACCCCCACCTCCATCCCCAGAGGGGAGTGAGCAACAAATAAAGCTCACTGGGTGTTTTTCTTTAAATCCTGTCTCTCACCACTCAGCCTCTGAACAGTTATTTACAGGTAGGATAAGTGGAAGACGCCTACTGCTCGCCCCTTCCCCACCATCACCACCACTTGGGTGAGAGCACTTGCTACTAAAATCCAGGAAATCGCACATTCCCTAACCCAGCCTGTAGGGGCCCTTTTTCCTTCCTCTTCCAGAAAGCCTTGTCTCTTGTCAGTATCCCATTCTCATTGCCAAAGCTATCAAGAACGGTACAGGTCCTAGGATTTTACCTACTTACAAGCTATGAAGCTCTCCTGCTACAGTTTCATGAATGCTAGCAGAAGACTCCTGAGTCAGAAACAAAGGACTTGATTATTTACGGCAAAAGCCCCATTGAGCCAAGGATTTTCTTCAGGGGCAGAGGGAGGAATAAGGTCTTCCCAAAGGTGTAATTGCCACATTTTCATGAAAAGCTGAGATACTGCCGGGGCCAGGCTGTCTGTGTTCTTGAATATACCATTTCCATTTGACAAGCGAGGCTTACTGGGCCCTTTCCACCTTGTTAGTTGCGGGGTCCAACTTGACCCATCCTAAAATAAGAATAATAAGCCGAAGAGTCACGGAGTTCATACAAGTAAGGTGTTCACTTTTGACAAAAGCTCAGTAACTCCTGGTACTAGGTAATCAAGGTAATAACTGCTTTTCAAAAGGGGTAAACCTGGTACCTGTGCCAAAGGAGAAGAAGTCCAAAACCCTAAGAGAGGTCTTCAGGCAGAGGCTCTAAATCAGCACAGAGATTTGTAGCTCAAAGGAGTCATTAGGACTGTAGGGGGACTTCCCTGGTGGCGCAGTGGTTAAGAATCCGCCTGCCAATGCAGGGGACACAGGTTTGAGGCCTGGTCTGGGAAGATCCCACATGCTGCGGAGCAACTAAGTCCATCCGCCAACAACTACTGAGCTAGCATACCACAACTACTGAAGCCCACGTGCCTAGGGCCCGTGCTCCACAACAGAGAGAAGCCACTGCAATGAGAAGCCCGTGCACCGCATCGAAGAGTAGCCCCCACTCGCTACAACTAGAGGAAGCCCGCGCACAGCAATAAAGACCCAACACAGCCAAAAATAAATAAATAAATAAATAAATTTATTTTTAAAAAAAAAGGATTGTAGGGGCCCAAAGATAGTGTATCACAGCTTGCTGGATAGCTTCTAACTCAGCTTGTGGCTTGGGCCCCACTGAAAAGATGCTGATTTGTAGGTTAGACAAGATAAAGAACCATGTAGAATGCCCAAGTGAGGCACGTACTGCCCCTCATACAAGCAAGGTGCTGGGCCTTCTTTTACAGTGTTGGCAGGAGGGGGTGGGGCAAAGAGACAACAGTTTCTGTTTTTGCTTTTTTTTGACTGCCAGAGGACTGACATTATTAATCTTTCCAAATAGGCTTAAAAAACTTTACCTGGTAAGTAGTCCCCCGAATTTTGTCAGGGTTTACTAGCCACTTCTGCTGGTGGAATGTGATAATACCATTTTCAAGGCTGTTGAGATTAAGGCTTTAGACTTGCTAACCAATAGGATATCATGCATATAGAGAAAGCTGTGGAAATCTGAATGTAGAAGCACTCATGCTAAATCCTGACCCACCCACTGCTGGCTACTGGCGGGTGAGTAGTTACCTCTGGGGGAGTACTAAAAACATACGCAAACTGATCTTGGTCCTCAGGTGTCAGCGGTACAGTGAAGGTGGTGTTGGCCACATCCAGGATAGCATACCAAACGCCATCAGTCTGGGCAGTGGATTCAGTTACGGTCACAATATCTGGAATGGCTTGGATATGGAAGCAACAACTGGATTCAGTTGGTGATAATCCACTGTAAGTCTCCAACTCCATTAGCAAATCTCACTAGCCACACAGGGATGCTGTACTGAGATAACGCATCTCTTATTTTCCCAGCTGCCTTTAAGTTCTTAATGGAGGCTGTGATTTCCCTCTGTCCTCCTAGGATTCTATAATTTTTCTGTTAGACCATCTGGGAGGGCACAGAGAGACAAGTTGGGTAGTGATTTATAATTCCCACCAGCACCTCTCTAAATATAGCTCTTCCAATCCCTCTGGCACTTATGGGATGGACACGAACAAGTATACAACACAATGATTCCTACTACACATTCAGATGTAGAAACAACAGTACATTCAACTGACAAAAAAAGAGCCCTATCCACAAGGTCATGTTAGTTCCCTTCCCCATTGTGAACCCTGCCTAAATTCTATAAGCTGAATCCAAGTGACTTTTCCTCCTATAGGTTCAGATAAGTTAGAGACTTGGGCACCCACAACCAACAGAGCCATAAAAGTTTGGGGTCCTTCCCTCCCTGAAATGCTCCAGTGAACTTGGATGGCTATTTAGGGCCTTCTTTCCCCTTTAGTGATGGGAAGACCTTGGCTCTACCTCTAATCATGTTTCGTCTTAAAAGAGCTGAGATTAAGACAAGGGGAAAGGGAGGTGTCATGCAGTGCAGAAGGAGAAAGCAACTCCATGCCATTTAACAAGACTTCACATTTACATTTAATTTTGGGTGGTGTAGCAGCAATTCATGGCTCGACCAAATGAACTTCTAATGTTATTGGTCTTTTCCAACACTCTATATCAGGCAGCACAGTCTTCATAGCTGACACTATCTGTTTCATCTTTGGGAATTCCTTGACTCAGCAGCCATCACCACACTGCTTTCTAGATAGGGTCTTGAGGTTTGTGTGTCCTCAGGTGACTTCAACTTGGTTTGCACAGCAGCACAACAGTGACCTACTTTGTGGAGTCCACATCATTCCAGGGCATCTGCTGTCCTATTAACCATGATGACATCTCATAATTTCTTGCCTGATTCCAACATAAGGGCTAAAGGAGTTTTCCAGGACACCAGAGCTGACTGCAAGAATTTATATTTCTTTGGGTCAGTTTCTAATTTCCTAGTGGATCACGTTCATTAACATTGTGTACCTAACTCAGGGCACTAAGAGCCTGAATACTAGTTAATGCCTATGTATGGTTTCCTACAAGAGTTCATCTATTTCAGGGAAGTCTCCCCAGGAGGGCCAAAAGTACCTTATAGCAGCCAGAACCCCCTACAAAAAACTCTGAAATCTTCTTGTTGTTTTGAAATGGATGTAAGATTGTCACTATATACTGCAGGAGTAGTTGGCCATAAGATGGCCCAGCTGTTGCCACCTTTCCTTTACAGGTACTACACAGTCTGTACCTTCATCTCCCAAACAAACCAGCCAAAGTTCTAATGATTCACTCGGTTTCTGCTCATAGCAGTCATGAATTCCCATCCTGTCATCTTCAGTGGAGGTATGCATCTCTGTAACTGTTGTCAGAGAGTAGAATCTTCTGGCTACCCAGGACAGATCTTAGCAGTAATTGTTAAAATGGAACAGACTGAGGTGGATTATCAGACTGGCAAGGAAGTCTCCCCACCTGGAGGATAATTAACAACAACCAGGGCACTGTTCAGGCAGCTGATTTTGAACCTACTTCCTCACACCTGGCTTGCAACTGCCTCTCCAACTGTCCCTCATTAACAGGCAATAAAGTGGAAGGCTATTTATTGCCTGATTTACCATACAACTAAGTGTGTTCACTACCATTGTCCATGGGTTTCCCCGAAATCCAACCGATCACATGACAACATCCTTATCTATCATCCTTCAGAAAGCCATGTCCGTCAGTATCCCATCTTATCACCAAAGTTGTCAAGAACTTACCCTACTTGTAAGCTACCAAGTTAGCTTGCCACAGTTTCATGGATGCTGATAGTAGACCTCAAAGGACAGCTTATTACTCAGAGCAATTGCAGTAACCAGAGTTTAAGCATTTTTGCATCTGTTCCTCAAGCCCTAATACCCACAAGGTGATGTGAAGAGGGCCGCACCTGCACAGGCAATGGATTACATTTCAGGACAGGAACCCTGTGCCTCTTACAAGATGTGCAGAAATGCAAGAGAAGTATGGAGAACTGTCCCCCAGCAAAAGGGAAAGATTTATGGAATGATGGTCATTACATATTAACTATTAACGCTAGTAATTTCCAAATGGCAGAATTATAGGCTCTTTCCTCTTGCATTTTTTGGGGAATTGCTTGAATTTTTATAAGCATGCATCATTTTCAGCTCTGTATTTTAAGAAGTGCATTATGAACATTCAGGTCAAGATGATAATTTGAGTTTTTACAAAGTCCCTGTAAAATGAGCAGAGAGATACAAAAATAGAAGAAAATCTGTATGCATACTAAAAAACTGGGAAGATTACTAATTAGACTTAAGGCAGGAATTAGAATTCCTCTAAAATGGTTCAACTAAAGAGGCTTTAATATAAATGAAAGTTGTATGTATGAATAGGGAACCAATAAAGGATATTGAGGGCAACAGTGAGAAGATGTTATTGCAGCCAGAGCCCAGTGATATGATAGCTGGAGTCATGGAGGTTGGGAGCACCCAGTAGTAGCTGTAGATATGAAGGAAAATCCATTGCCAGAACGACAGCACCAAAGTAGGAAGAGAGTAGGACAGAAAACCCCCAAATTTTCTTTCCCCTCTTGCTCTCCAGTATCCTGGCAGTGCTTGTCATTTGCTGGACCTAACTGGAAGTCAGCTAGAGAGAGAGGCTGGTGAGGCAGCACATAGGGGTCATCCTCTTCAGGCAAAACAAAACAACAACAAAAATAACAAGACAGAGAAAGGTGGAGAATAGATTAGGGTGGGGAGGAGATAGAAAATAATAAGCACAGGTACTGCCCACAGTCCAAAAATATTTCTGTAAGATACAGTCAAGATGAAATCAGATTGAGGGGTTGACCAAGCAACCTGGAATTTAGTAAATTCAAGTAAAAGCCTGACTTGAAAGAAAGTGAACAGAATCCTGCCCCCCTCAATGGAAACACACATTTCCTCAAATTCATAGCATCTGCAATTAGTCTAGGGTACCAGCTAAGTTAAGGTTCAGTGATGTGCTCTTGCATGTACTGCTTCAGGTTGTATATATTTTTTCCTATTCCTCACAGGCAACTGAAGGCCTACTGCAATGTTAAAATTATTGGAAATAGAATATGACTCCTTTCCCTTTTTCTGGCACCAAAAGATTTAAATGAACAATCTCTGATAAAGTCCATCTCAGATACCAAAGCCAAACAGACCTTCCAGAGAAAAGTGTGAACAAAGGGAAAAATGATTAGAAATTTTAAATTATCTATTTCAAAAGAAGGTATATTTTCATCAATTGGAAAAGTTTCCCCTTACTCCTATTTTTAATCTCTGTTTTATAGTCTCAGTTTCAAGAACTTATTACATCTGTGAAAAGAAAACATATAGATTAGAAAAACTTACCAGTGAAAAATTATTGAATTAAAAATTATAGTGGATAAAATAATTATAAGGTGCATTTCACTTGCATGACTTGGGTCGACTCGAAGTGCAGAGTTAGCAGAGACAGTGAGTTTGGAAGATCATGGCATGTTTTCCACTAGTCTACCAATCATTATTTAAGGATTTAAATTTCATAAATGGAATTCATGGCATCGTAAAGGCAATTAAATTCAAATGGATGGGACTTGCTGGCAAGATGGAGGAGTAGAAAGATGTTAGCTCACCCCTTCTTAGAAGAACACCGAAATCACAACTAACTGCTGAACAACCATCAACAACAACAAAAAAAAGAATGCTGGAACCTATAAAAAAAAATACCCTACACCCACAGACAAAGAAGAAGCCACAACAAGACGGTAGGAGGGGTGCCATCGTGACAAAATCAAATCCCATACCTGCTGGGTGGCCAGGCTCCTAAGCCTGTGGGTCTGGCAACGGGGGCTGCGGGGAGCCACCAGAAAATCTTTGAAGGTCAAAGATTTGAAGGTCAGTGGGGTTTGATTGCAGGAATTCTACAGGAATGGGGGAAACAAACTCCACTCTTGCGGGTGCACACAAGGTCTAGTGCACCACCAGGATCCAGAGAAAAAAGCAGTGACCTCATAAGATACTGGGCTAGACCTACCTGCTAGTATTGAAGGGCTACCCACGGAGGCTGGTGGGGCAGCTGTGGCTCACTGCAGGAAAGAAGACACTGGCAGCGGCAGTTTTGGCAAGTACTCATTGGCGTGAGCTCTCCTGGAGTCCACCATACCCCCCACCCCCGTGAAAACCTAGCCACACGCAACAGCCTGTAGGCTCCAGTGCTGGTATGCCTCAGGCCAAACAACAAACAGCATGGGAACACAGCCCCACCCATCAGCAGACAGGCTGCTTAAATCTTCCTGAGCATGGCCCTGCCCACCAGAGGAACAAGAAAGAAGAACAAACAAAGGCCAAAGATGGTAGAAGAAAAGAAATAATCATAAAGATGAGAGCATAAATAAATGAAATAGAGATGAAGAAAATAATAGAAAAGATCAATGAAACTAAAAGCTGGTTCTTTGAAAAGATAAACAAAATTGATAAATCTTTAGCCACACTCATCAAGGAAAACAGGGAGAGGTCTCAATTCAATAAAATTAGAAATGAAAAGGAGAAGTTACAATCAACACCACAGAAATACGAAGGATCATAAGAGACTACTATAAGCACCTATATGCCAATAAAATAGACAACCTGGAAGAAATGGACAAATTCTTAGAAACGTACAGTCTCCCAAGACTGAACCAGGAAGAAATAGAAAATATGAATAGACCAATCACAAGTACTGAAATTGAAACTGAAATTTTAAAACTCCTAAAAAACAAAAGTTCAGGACCAGATGGCTTCACAGGCAAATTCTATCAAACATTTAGAAAAGAGATAACACCTATCCTTCTGAAACTATCCAAAAAAATTGCAGAGGAAGGAACACTCCCAACCTCATTCTATGAGGTCACCATCACCTGATATCAAAACCAGACAAGGATACCACAAAAACAGAAAATTACAAGCCAATATTACTGATTAACATAGATGCAAAAATCCTCAACAAAATACTAGCAATCCAAATCCAACAATACATTAAAAGGATCATACACCATGATCAAGTGGGATTTATCCCAGGATGCAAGGATTTTTCAATATCCACAAATCAATCAGTGTGATACACCCCATCAACAGATTAAAGGAAAAATCCATATGATCATCTCAATAGATGCAGAAAAAGCTGTTGACAAAATACAACAACCATTTATGATAAAAAACTCTCCAGAAAGTGGGCATATACCCACTTTCTGGGTATATGCCAGATGAAAGAGGGAACATACCTCAACATAATAAAGGCCATATACAACAAACCTACAACTAACATCATACTCAACAGTGAAAAGCTGAAAGCATTTCTTCTAAGATCAGGAACAAGACAAGGAGGTCCACTCTCTCCACTTTTATTCAACGTAGTTTTGGAAGTCTTAGCCACGGCTATCAGAGAAGAAAAAGAAGTAAAAGGAATCCAAATTGGAAAAGAAGAAGTAAAACTGTCACTGTTTGCAGATGACATGATACTATACGTAGAAAATCCTAAAGACCTACCAGAAAACTACTACAGCTCATCAATGAATTAGGTAAAATTGCAGGATACAAAATTAACACACAGAAATCTCTTGCACTTCTATACACTAACAATGAAAGATCAGAAAGAGAAATTAAAGAAACAATCCCATTTACCATTGCATCAAAAAGAATAAAATACCTAGGAATAAATCTACCTGAGGAGAAAAAAGACCTATACTCTGAAAACTATAAGATGCTGATGAAAGAAATCAAAGATAACACAAACAGATGGAAAGATATACCATGTTCTTGGACTGGAAGAATCAATATTGTCAAATGACTATACTACCCAAGGCAATCTACAGATTCAATGCAATTCCTATCAAATTACCAGAGGCATTTTTCACAGAACTAGAATTAAAAAAAATCTTAAAAATTTTTTAAGGAGATACATTTTTTATGGAGACACAAAAGACCCTGAATAGTCAAAGCAATCTTGAGAAAGAAAAATGGAGCTGGGGGAATCAGGCTCCCTGACTTCAGACTATACTACAAAGCTACAGTAATCAAGACAGTATGGTACTGGCATAAAAACAGAAATACAGATCAATGGAACAGGAGAGAAAGCCCAGAAAGAAACCCATGCATGTATGGTCAATTACTCTATGACAAAGGAGGCAAGACTATACAATGGAGGAAAGACAGTCTCTTCAATAAATGGTGCTAGGAAAACTGGACAGCTACATGTAAAAAAATAAAATTAGAACATTCTCTAACACCATACACAAAAGTAAACTCAAAATGGATTAAAGACCTAAATGTAAGGGTGGATATTATAAAATTGTTAAAGGAAAACACAGGCAGAACACTCTTTGACATAAATTGCAGCAATATCTTTTTTGCATCATCTCCTACAGTAATGGTAATAAAAACAAAAATAAACCAATGGGACCTAATTAAACCCAAAAGCTTTTGCACAGCAAAGGACACCACAGACAAAATGAAAGGACAACCCACAGAATGGGAGAAAATATTTGTAAACGATGCAACTGACAAGGGATTAGTCTCCAAAATTTACAAACAGCTCATGTGGCTAAATTCAAAAAAACAAACAAACAACCCAATCAAAAGATGGGCAGAAGATCTAAATAGACACTTCCTCAAAGAAGATGTACAGATGGCCAAGAGGCACATGAAAAATGCTCAACATCACTAATTATTAGAGGAATGCAAATCAAAACTACAATGAGATATCATCTCACACCAGTCAGACTGGCCATCATCAAAAAGTCTACAAACAATAAATTCTGGAGAAAAACATGGTTTGAAAGCATACATGCAGCCCAGTGTTCATTGCAGTGCTGTTTACAATAGCCAGCACATGGAAGCAACCTAAATGTCCATCAACAGAGGAATGGATAAAGAAGATGTGGTACATATATACAGTGGAATATTACTCAGCCATAAGAAGGGAGAAAATGGTGCCATTTGCTGAGACATGGATAGACCTAGAGTCTGCCATACAGAGTGAAGTAAGCCAGAAAGAGAAAAAGAAATATTGTGTAATATCACTTATATGTGTAATCTAGAAAAATGGTACAGATGAATCTTATTTGCAAAGCAGAAATAGAAACACAGATGTAGAGAACAAACTTATGGATACCAAGGGGGGAGGGGAGTGGGATGAATTGGGAGATTGGGATTGAAATATATACATTACTACATATAAAATAGATAACTATTGAGAACCTACTGTATAGCATACTATTTCACTCATACTAAGTGAAATAAGTCAGCCAGAGAAAGACAAATATCATATGATATCGCTTATATGTGAAATCTAAAAAAAATGATACAAATGAACTCATTTATGAAACAGAAACAGACTCACAGACTTAGAGAACGAACTTATGGTTACCAGGGAGGAAGGGTCGGGGGGGGGGGGATAGATTGGGACTTTGGGATTGACATGTACACACTACTATATTTAAAATTGATAACCAACAAGGACCTACTGTATAGCACGGGGAACTCTGCTCAATATTCTGTAATATCCTAAATGGGAAAAGAATTTGAAAAAGAATAGATACATGTATATGTAAAACTGAATCCCTTTGCTTTACACCTGAAACTAACACAACATTGTTAATCAACTATGCTCCAATGTAAAATAAAATTTTTTTAAAAATTCAAATGAATGAACAGAAGGTTAATGATATCACACATACCACTCCCTGCCTTCCTTAATCCTAGTCTTCAGCAGGCACTAGTGACTTTAAACTCAAAAACTCATAAATAATCAGAGCCTTTATCACTACTCTTTATAGAATATGGAATTAATCTCGCTGCCTCATGCCTGATATTTGGTATGCTAGAATTAGATGCTTCATTCACCTTGAAAGTATTAAAATAATTTGTATTTCCCTAGGACCAAATGATTTTGATTAATCACATACAATGAGGCTCAGGGATTATAACATATTCAGAGATTCCAAAGAAAATGCCTCAAAACCCTGCAGTATTTTTAATTAATGAATTATTTCAACAAATATTTATTGAGTGCCCATCATGGACTCATCACTACTCTAAATGGTAAGATACTGTGATGAGTAAGACTAAATCCCTACCATTTGGAACAAAGTCAAGTGGGAGTGACAGACAATAACAAGTAAAGAAACATGGAATATGATACCAGGTAATGATACATGAAAAAAATAGAGATGGGGTAGGGTGAGTGAGTGGATAATTATTTTACTTAGAGTGGTCAGAGAAGGCCCCTCTAAGGAGGTAACAGCTGAGTAGAGACCTGAATGGTGTGAATGAATGAACCCCAAGAAGATCCGGAGAAGAGCATTCCCATCAGACAGAAGAATAATTGTGGTGCTACTGCTAACTGTGCTGATTATACAATAACCACTCCTGATACCACCCTGTCACAACAGCACCTGAATTCCGCTTGTAACAGCAAGGTATACAGCCCCAAATGATGAATCATTATTGACAACCCCATTCCATTTTGCCAAATGCTAGTTTTCTCATTCTCCTTTGAAGCTAAACATAGTCATGTAAACTAATTCTAGTCAATGGGACATAAAATCTGCTGGAGGGTTATTGGGTAAATTTCTGTTTCTTTGTAGAAATAAAAGGGGGCAAGTGCAAAAGAAAACTTGAATGTTCTACCCCCTGCCTTGATCTACAAATGATGCCTAGGACTGAAGCAAACATCCGGTAATAATGAAGTAACAAGCAGACTGTGAAAAAGAGGAAAGATAAGAAAGAGCCTGGTTCCTGGGTCCTTAATGACACTGTTAAGCCACTAAACCAATGCCAGGAATCCCTACCTCATGACTTCATTGGTCAGGTTCCAATGGCATTGCCAGTAAAATGTAGTTCCAAAGTCAAGATCACAAGGCCATAAGAACTGTTGTTAACACTTCAAAAATATTTAAGGTAGTATCTTACAGACACACTTGACTAGACAAAAAATATTCTAAGTATCTTAGGGTGGCCTCTTAGACCCTCTCTGCTAGACCAGAGAGCTTCTAAGATTCTTAAGGATATGTTTTAAAGATATGTTAAGGATATGTTTTAAAGATATTTGGGGGTGTAACATTTGGCTAAGGTCATAATTTGATACCCAGGAAACCCGCAAAATCTCTAAGATAATCATAGTATCTTGGACTGAAAGGAACAGAGACAATTTAAAATGCAAAGAGGTTTCTGAATTCTTAACTTTCTACAGATAAGACATAGGCTGCAAAGCTACTCAGCTACAAATATAAGCTCTTTCTTATGGAAAAAGAAAGATTCTCAGAGGGCAGAGCCAGAAGCTTCCGAATTACTATGGCTCACTGACTGCTATATGCTTCTCTTTACCCTTCCTTCACCTTTGGAATGTAAGTGCCTGTTGTTATCCTATTTCTGATTCACCATTGTATGTATGTAGTGGACAGATAACTGGTCTCTTCAATTCACAGGTCTTAAGATTGAGAGAAGCCACGCTCAAGAAGCTTCATCTACCTGGATCTGATTTAGATGATGAAATTCTGTACTTAAGCTTGAGCCCAATGCAGTAATGGCATGAAACTAAGAATTTTGGAAGCAGAGTAAGTGTATTTTGCATGTGGGAGAGAAATTACTTGGAGCTAGAGATGGTTAATCTGTGGATGACCCCCAATGAACAACGCCTTCCAAAATTCACGCTCTTATGTAGTCCCCTCCCATATTGGGTCAGGGCTGAGCCTGGGACCTACTTTAACTAACAGAATGGAGTGAAAGTGACCCTATGCTAGTACAAAGCCTAAGTCTTAAGAGTATCTGAAGCTTCTGTTTTTGTATATTGGAAGCCCTGAGCTGCCACATAAAAAGTTCAGTTGCCCTGCTAGAAAGACCACATAGAGAGACAATATGAAGAGGTTGCATGGACAAGGGGAGGAATAATCCCTAAGATTACAGAGAGAGAAACTGAGACAGAGAGAGAGAGAGAGAGAGAGAAGTTGAGAGAGAAGAAGAGAAACAGGCACATCAAACCAGATGTCCATGCATCACAGTTGAGCCCAGACCTACGGCTGTTTCCATCAGGGTATAAAACACATAAGTGAGCCATAATGAGTGTTCCAGCCCAGTCAAGCTCCTAGATGACTACAGGACCAGCCAACATCAAGTGGAGCAAAACAACTACCTACCTAAGCGAAGTCAACCCATAGAATCTTGAGAAATAATAAAATGGTTATTTTAAGCCACTAAATTTTGGAGTGGTTTGTTATGGAGCAATAAATAATTCACTTATCAAATGAAAACTGAATATTTTGGAAGTCAGATTCAATAAAGAAATTAAAAGGCAAACCACAAAAACTATGAAAAAGTATGTGCCATGAATATACAAGGTTATTATCTTTATAATAAAAAGAGCTCATTATAAAACCTAAACAACATCACCAAAAACTCAACAGAAAAAAATGGACAATCTACTCATCTACTCATAGGGAAAATCAAAATGGCTAATAAGCATGAAAATGTTTTAATCATTATTTAAAATATCATTAATACTCAAATATCACTGGTCAGAATATAAAGTGGCACAATCTTTCAGGAGAGCAATTTGTCAACATGCTATTTCTATAAATATATGAGGAGATAATCACAGACACAAATAAATAGGTAAAAGAATATTAATTTCAAGCTTAATGTCCAAAAATATAGAAACTATTTTAAATTACTGAATATCAATATTTGAGGCTATCCTGCACCTTGCAAATTTTAAAGAAAATTGAGGTAACATGCTTATAATATAATATCAAGTTTTAAAAAGCATAATATAAAATTATACATATATAGTTTGATCCAAGTTTTTAAAAATAAATAAGAGATATACATATGTGGGCTTCCCTGGTGGCGCCGTGGTTGAGAATTTGCCTGCTAATGCAGGGGACACGGGTTCAAGCCCTGGTCTGGAAGGATCCCACATGCCACGGAGCAACTAGGCCCATGAGCCACAACTACTGAGCCTGCGCGTCTGGAGCCTGTGCTCCGCAACAAGAGAGGCCGCGATAGTGAGAGGCCCGCGCACCGTGATGAAGAGTGGCCCCCGCTTGCCACAACTAGAGAAAGCCCTCGCACAGAAACGAAGACCCAACACAGCAAAAATAAATTAATTAAGTAATAAACTCCTACCCCCAACATCTTCTTTAAAAAAAAAAAGAAATATACATATGTTAATAACAAAGACTGAAAGGAAATAAAATTATTAAATGTGGCAGTAGAATTATAACTACTTTTATTTTCTTTTTTATACTTCTATTTTCTAAATTTCCTATAATGACTGTGTATTACTTTCACATTCAGTAAAAACAAGAATGTTTTTCTTTTTAAGTTACATTGCTTAGCGTATTGATCTAGGTAATTAGGAATAATTCCCCAACTTGAGATATTTAATAAAATTATATCTTTTGGAATTTGGAAAGGAATTTAGAAATGACCTGGTATAAACTACCATTCAGTAGATGAGAAAATAGGCCTAGGGATTCAGGTGCGCAAGCTTGCTGATGTATTTAGAGGCAGAGCCATACTTAGAACTCAGATTGTTTTCCCACTGACCAATACACATTTTTACACTGCTTTATGATAGTGACTCAAACAAGATGTAAAGATCTAAGTAGAATAACTGTCATTTTGAGAAATGCTTTTCCCCGGTGTACCTTTAAATTTTCAGATCATTCTCTTTTTTTTTTTTTTTTTTTTTTTTTCAGTACGCGGGCCTCTCCCTGTTGTGGCCTCTCCCGTTGCGGAGCACAGGCTCCGGACGCGCAGGCTCAGCGGCCGTGGCTCACAGGCCCAGCTGCTCCGCGGCACGTGGGATCTTCCCGGACCGGGGCACGAACCCGTGTCCCCTGCATCGGCAGGCGGACTCTCAACCACTGCGCCACCAGGGAAGCCCCATTCTCATTTTAAACTATAAAACTGTTTGTAATAGGGGCACATATGCTATTTCCTATAACAGTTTCATTAAAAATTTCCACTGAAATAACCTCTCAGGCTTTCCTTTGAATTTAGATTTTGCTACCATTGTTATATTTTCAGCTGAATTTTACATCAAACCATGAGACTGGTTGGTACTACTGGTTTCTCAGATCACTTTGCTTTTCCTTCAAAGGTTTTTTTCCTCCTTATTTGATGAGTATTAGTAGGGTGGGAATATTTAATATACTTAGACACACTTCTACTTGGAGACATTTGTACTTTCAATTTATTTATTTTTTATTAATGAATTCTTTAGTTTTTCTTAGTCTTATACTTCTAATACGAGGGCAGATACCTTTAGTTCAAGGTCTCCCTTTGGATCGTGACTTTGAAAACTACCTTTTGCTTTTGAATCTGGGGAAACTAAGCTTGTGCTCTTCCTTCAAGCTAAGCTCACATTGTTGCTTTGCCACCTAATTTCTGTTGGAGATAAATTTAAGTTCCTCCTCTTTATTCTACCTGGATTTATATGGGTATTTTTCAACTTTACCTCTGATGGAGATGAGTCAGTTTTTAAAAGGCTTGGATATCTATCTTTCAGTTTTTCTTCTGGTGGGAAGAACAGATTTTTCATTTTTCTCTCCGGCATAGCCTCTTGCTGGTGTTCCTCTAAAGGTGGTATTTCGTCCTCTTCTGTTAATGTCAGCCTAGGAATAGTGGGCAATGGAGTATCTGTTTCCTTTGTTGACATGTCACTTGTAGGAGCAACAACATTTGAATCATCTTCACCCGACTGGTTCAAAGTTGGCAGAGTCAGGCCTTTCTTATCATCATTATCCAGTAACTAGAAAATGTATCAATAAGACAAGCTACCTATTAATCATTATCAACTAGAAAATATTTAAAACTAACAAAATTGGACTTAAAATCATTTGTACTTTTATCCTTTATTATAACAAGTTACCATCAATATTTGTAAATTATTACATTCCTTATTAGAAGAGCTGAGAAATTCTCTACTTGCCTGATACCATGGACTATAGGATATTATCCATAAAAATGATCATACTGCATTATAAACTAGTGGTTCTCATATATGCATATTTTATAAATCATCAGCATCTCAGAGAAGAAAACCAAGGGGTCTGACATTTTACTGTTACTATACTATCACCAATATACCATAACAAAGGAAACTTTAATAGCAAAATAGCACAAAGAACAATATCATAAAAATCACAGTAATATGGTAAAATAAAGGAAATTTAAATAGCGAAATAGTACAAAGAATAGTATCATAAAAGAAAGGACTGTTAAGTCTGTTAAGCCAAGTAAATTTAGCTGTATGAGAAATTCTCTATATTGTCTTTTTTCTCTCTCTTTGGATTGTGCAAAACAGAACATACTGACTCTTCAATTGGTATTTTGGGAGCCACTGGCCCAAGAACAGAAATCATTAAATCCTATTTGTCAAGTAGTATGGAAGAATCTTTTGTATTTTATTGGTTTACATAGGGGTCCACTGCCTTACGGAATTAATACCTTCTGTAAAAGCTAGAAAGCAAATAATATTATGTGAACTCTATTTCTATTTATAAAATATAGACTATTACTTTGGAGATTATACATTACAGAGAATACACAGTTGTATTATAGAGAAAAAGTAAAGAATGTAGTTAGGTCTGTGGCATCCATTTCTAAGTGCAGAACTTTATGCTTTCTTTTACTTGTTTCCCCCCTTCTGTTCATAAACACCTTTTGTCCCCTATATTCATATGTACTTTAAAATGTTACTATTTGATACTGAAACTTCCCTCTTAATAGTGTAATTTAAATTAAATAAATCGTGTAACACTGTACAGATATTGTTGTAACAGAAATAACCGTGAAAACTTGAATAACTTCTTGAGTGCTTTCTTCTTTCCATCTATAAATATTTCTCCATTTACAAATATTTCATCCCTTTATAAAATAGTAACTATTCGAAGTTCTCTTTCAAGTTCCCTTACCTCACTTGGAAGAGTTTCAGCTTCTTCCTTTATAAGTAGGATATCTGTTAAGAAATTCATAGAAGTATTTTATTATATATAAAAAATAAACATTATTTATATGCATTAATAAAATAGTACAGTTTTTCTCACCAAGAATAAGAGCAATTTAAATCAAACCAGTTACTCAAACATAAACACTACATATTTAGTAAAAACAGGCTGATGAATCTCTGGGAAGATGGAGGAGTAAATGAACAAGTGTGGAGATGAAGTGAAAACATGTATAAAATGATAAGATTTCAGATCCCTCAATATAAGACATAAAAACAGGCATGTACTATATTTTACTAAAAGTCAAGAGGAAATAAAAATAAATCCCAGATGGTCAGTGATAAGGTTGGGATTGGAAAAAAAGAGTAAAGTTGTATGTAACCAGAAAAAATAGGACCATTCAAGAGAGGCTAACTGAAGCACTTGTCAAGTTTTCCTAGAAATATAAAGAATACGTATTTAGCAAACAAAAAAGAAAATTCTAAAAGGGAAAGGGAATAAATAATTGAGATACAAAGGGATGCATAAGTCTAGTCAAAAAAAATTATTAAGGTCACTATTAGCTGCATGACTGCTGTCAGCTCATTTTTCTGAGCCTTGGTTTTCTCACATGTAAAATAGATTAGTGATAGCTTATCTTATAGGTATGTTACAAGTATATACAATGGGAGCAGCAATGTGGTTAAATGCTTGACTTCTTGGGTCAAATAGACTAGCTTCAAATTAATGGCTGTGTCACCTCTCACTGACTTGATCCTCAGTTTTCTCATCTGTAAATATGTGGATAAATAATAATAGCACCCTCGATTGACTGCTCTGAGTACTGAGTTACATAGTCCAAGTAATGTGCCTGGAACTCAGTGATCAGTAAATGTTAGCTGTAACTATAGGGAGCCACTGGAATGCCAAAAGGAAAGAAGTCACTAGAGGATCCAATGGGACTTGAAATAAACTCCGTGGATAAGTGAAAAAAAGTAAAAAAAAAAAAAAAAAAAAAAGTAACCACCAGTGTGTGAGAGAGGTTAACCTCCAATATTCAACAGCAATATTGAAGAGGGAAGTTGTGATTCTCCTACAACCTAAAACTTGAATGTTTCAGTGAAAGAGTAGATTAAAGATGAAATAGCTCTGCTAGGCTGGTTGATCCTCAGAGGTTAAGAAATGAATATGTCAAAGCCTGAGGTAGCTGGGGAAGTAGAATTAGAGAAGTAACCTGTGGCCAGTCTTATAACAATAAATCATTAATCCACACCGGCAGAATCCAAGATTTTAAAGATAGAGTATTATGCATCTATTTTAACTTACTTTCTAAATGAATCTCTTAAGAGAGATTTTTCTTAAAGACTGCATGAACAGTATCTTCTATTAATTAAATATCTTACTGATAATTTGTGCAAAGTTCTCACATTTAATGTTAATTTAATTTCCTGTCCTGCTCTCTCTCCTCCTCCCTTTCTCTTACACACACACACACGCACACGCACGTGCATACACACATCCTCCACATAAAAAAGACCAATAGCTCTACAGTTAACGATGTTTAACAAAAATACCTTTTCATAGATTATAGGTAAGATTTAACTTTTTCCTTGCTCTTAAAGAGGAAAGGACTATTAAAAATAAAAATAACTCTTAATTGGGTCTAAGTATTTTCTTTGGAGTGTTACAAAATAAATACTATATACCAAAACTATAATGAAATGTATTTTTATTCCCTAACAAAAAATGAAGTATACTTAAAGCAGATTGCTAGTTTTCTTTTTGTGATATAACCACCCTGTTTTAATTATCTTAATAATAAATACAAAAAGGTAAATTAGTT